GCGTGTTGCATGTGAGGCTGGAGGGCCGAAAAGATAGCTATGGATAAGAGTAACTAGGTAGTGCATTGCGTGAGACGGGAGGGGAAGGGTGGAAGGTGGGAAAGTATGGCGGTAAGCTGGGAATTGCGCTTCGGGGAGGTGAAAGTCGGTCCGATCGGAGGTTTATCGATAATGAGATGGTTGATGGATGGGCGATCTGGTGTGACGCGCAGAGCTTCAGCTGAGATGGAGAGGTGGGTGGGGAGAAGGTGTGGCGAGATTTTTTTGGGTGTTGGACAGAGTGCCCAGGTGGTGTCGGGGATAGGGAGAGGGTGCACTGGTGAGTAGGGTGGTGGTGTGCAAGATTTGCCGAGAATTATGCTTCTTTTTATGGTGCTGAATTCGCCATCGTCTACAGGTATTGGCCCTTCGCTACTTGTAGTCTCGATTGTCGCAGCCTTTGTTTCCCAGGATCTCTGAATCTTCGAATCTTGTGTTTCCCTTCTCATTCTCGGGTTCTGTCCACGCAGTCAAATATTCTCCATAGTATGTGCGTGAACTTTGACGATCTCAGGGCTACGTCTCCATCACCTCAAGAACATTGCTGCTGAACGTTCTCCACCATTTACGCTGATCTTCACATGAAGAGTTCAACCACTCCTAAAGATCACCACCACACATTACCCCGAAACCCAAACGTCAACGTTAGAGCAGGTTGCCTAAGGCGAGCACTTTGTCGTGCGACATTCATATCCAGGACCAGTCAAACGTTAGTGCATTGCGCCGTTGAGAAGCTAGTGGTTAAATAGGTGTGTAGTGGTTTGAGAAGACGATGGTTTTAGCTTTCGTTGCTTTTCCCACGTGCAGCCCTGAACTTGCTTTTTGCTGATCTTGATGTGCATCACCCGCACTCCCGGCAAATGTAAAATGGCGAAGCTTATTTGCCGTATGGCGCGTTGTGGCGTACACACCTCAGGTAGCTCGAGCCTCTAGGCCAGTTGGCGTGCTCCCATGGAGAGGGATGCGCGCGGGGTTTTCGGGTAGTAGTGCCATGCGTAATGCATCATGAGGCTTCCTGTCGCGCTCTCGCGCCAATGTATTAAGGAGCTATTAAAACGACATCGAGGTGAGGCGAGTGTGTTAGTATAGTAGTGCTTGCTGTTGTGGCCGACGCGTCCACAGAGGCACGTCAGCCTAGGCAAACACAGAACACCCAAGAGCCTACATCAGCTTCAAATCACCTACCTTGCATGTTCTGATTTCAATGTAGTCTGCAAAGCTGTTTAGTGTTTTTGTTGTATGAAATGGCGCTGTTAGATGTTTTGACGAAACACGTGAGAGACGCGTCTTAGCGCGAGCGGATTGGAAGCGGGGATCACCACCCCTGAGGTCTTCTTTCCACATCGCGACGCGTCGCCAATGTCATGATGCCACCCGCGAACGCGAACGAACGAGTTGTCATAGCCGAATCTGGGGACGTATTGCTTACCCTACGCAACCCGGGTGCACCCTTCGCTGTTTGGGAACGTGAAGCCGAAGATGACGATGCAGCCAATGAGTCTGTCATCAAAGAAGAGGGCAAGGAAGATGAGGGTGCAGACCAAGACCCGAAGGTAGAAGGCCCACCACAGAAGAAGAGAAGGATGGTTGAAAGATCGAGGCAGGGGACAGAAATTCAAGACGATTCGGGCGACGATGCGGAACGGCCTTGTTTTGTGTATCAGGTTTCGGCCCATCACCTGATCACAGCTTCGCCAAAGTTCAAGAGCGAAATTATGTCTTGGAGCGAGAACCACAAAGCAGACGATGGGTTTTACCACATGGACACCTCAGATTGGGACCCAGAAGCATTCACTATACTTTTGAACGTGCTTCATCTCCGCTTCCGCCAAGTATCCAGGTCGCTGAGTCTGGAGCTGCTTGCCAAAGTCGCCAAGCTTGTGGACTATTACCAATGCTGGGAAGCGTTCGACCTGATCGCGGACGTATGGGTTAGGAACACTCGGACAATTTACCCAATATCAGACGCGTATAGTCGCGAGTTAATCCTGTGGATGTTCGTGGCCTGGGTGTTCAAAGTGGACACGATATTTGGCAGTACCACCAAGCTGACACTGCAACTAAATGACCGGCCAAACATCCGCGACATGGAGTTGGGCATTCCACCTAGCATTCTTCGTACGTATGCGTCCCTGTTCTTTGAAGATCATCAACTAACTTGAGCAGGAGCTTTAGAATCCCGACGCATAGAGATTATTGCGAAGATGATAGAAGCGTGCTATAAATGGGTTGACACGTATTGCGGTACAGACACGTGTAGAACCCCACATGAGGCGCCTTCCCCCTTTGAGTGTAGCTCTGTGTTACTTGGTGCGCTTATGAAGCAAATGAAGACCTTGGGCATTATGTCTCCACGACCGGTCGCGCCATTTGACGGCTTAAGTGTTAACGGCCTGCGCAAGAAGATGGACGGGATGAAGACACCGAGATGGTATTCACACCGTCGTGACGCTGTCTCTCCACACAGCTGTACCCTCGATACGACGGTGTGCAACGAAGTTCTTAAGATTTCACTCCGAGTTCCTGGGCTTAAGCGAAGTGACTTCGTGGATAGCGATGAGGCTGAGGAGGAGTAGACGCTCGATCACAACAACGATCAAAATGTCTGGGCTTACTCACTACATTCACACGCGACCTGTTATCGATACCAGAGGTAGCTACAACTTATGTCGCATTCTTCGAAAAATATATTAGGGCAGGAGCCTACATCATCTTCTGATCTGTGTGTTTGTTAAGTTATGGTACCATGTGTACCGCAGGCTATGGCACTATCATCAGCCCCGGATCTTGAGCTGTAGTTAACCAAGTTAGTGTTGTCAATATAACAATCGATACTCACTCAAGTATACAGTTCGGATCCCCGAGTTTTTCTCGCCTATCGTTAGGCCGCGCCCCGTATCGGCTTGAGTGTATTCCGCGGGCATATCAAGATCGTACATGATTCTCTCGAGAAGGGGAAGAAGAAAAACGCCAAGCCGCTCGAGGTGACCCATACGGCCGAAGGCCTAAGGTTGAGAAACCCGCTCCTTCACCCTACATCTACAAGAAGCATCTATGTTCCCTAAGTTCAGTAGTCGAAGAAGTCAATTCTGTAATTGGCAAAGCGCAAGGACTGGAACTGAAGGATTTCGTCGATCGCGCTGAGTCTACAACAGACACAGCACCTCGCCAAGGCTTATCTTAGTGATGGTGATAGCGCTACGTATGCCCACATCCGGCTTGTATAAAGCTCTTTAGAATGCTAAAGCAACACGTATACACCAAGGACGCCGAACACGCCACGTTCAAAAGGTTCAGTAGGACCAAGGCACGATTCTGTACGTATAGTATCAATACGATTTCACGGTTATAAGGTAATTTGATGCCCATCAATGCGTGACGAGCCTAGTATGGGCATAAGGTGTGCAGAGGCTGACTCTGAACTCTTTCATGAAGGCGGAACTAGTCTTAACCCAAAATGTTCGACAAGACCTTAATAAAGAACGCCGCGCAAATGCAAAGTTTTACTCGGTTCTCTGGGCATAAGCAGCACATCATTGTAGTGTAATTTGGTCGTTGGGATCAGATTTTCCTGAGTTCCGTGGTTGCGATACACTGAAACCAAGGCTCACATTCGACACGTGATCAGAATGTGCTGGGTGAAGAGTTTGGGTTTTCACCTTCACAGTCGCGCAGTCCGTTTAAGCGATAAGTATCTCAGAGACCTTTCGTCCTCTGTGTTTCTGTTCCTCAACGGACGCAGACTATCACCACACACTACCCAGATATGGCTACTCAAGAGCCTTCGTCGCCCGACGTGGTGCTTCTCCCTAGGTACGTCCATCGCAGTATAGCACAACTTACCACTAAATCCTACACAGCATCGCGGCGACCTCACCCACCGTTATCGTCAAAGTGGGCACGGAGGGCAAAGAGTACATCCTGCACACCGAACTCCTCAAGCACCACTCCGGCTACTTCCGCGGCGCACTTTCCGGCGCTTTCAAAGAAACCGACGACGGCGTTGTCCCAATCACTGATGTCGAAACCGACGCGTTCGATGTTTTCGTTGACTGGATATACCGCGGTACCGTAACAACCGACCTATTCCTTGAGGCATTCCGCAAGTACCGGTTGGTCGCAACTCGCAGCTATATCTTAGCAGATCGACTATTGGTTCCCGGCTTGAAGTCTGCGCTTATGGACACCTATTTCGACTTTTACGTGACCCGAAAGCAGTTTAGACCGGGTTGCGGGATGATTGTTTTGCTTTGCTGTAATTTGCCCGAGGAGGATCCATTGATTCGACTCTGTGTCGACATGTGGTCCACCCAAAAGACGATTTACACGTTGTGGGAAGATGAAAAGACTGAAGCCTTGGATCTCTCACAGGGGTTCCTCGTTCGTCTGATGTTACGAATGAATGAAGTCGGGAAGAAGCCACCGTCGGTGCAAACATTCAAGCGGGAAGATTACAATGAGCGTACAAGGGTTGGTGGATAGACGAATGAGTCGTCGTCGAGTGTCAAGGGCTCAAAGAACGGTTTCTTGCAAATATACTTCGACTGGGTTTAGTTCTGCAGGCGCGGCAATTGTCGGATAATGTCAGGGTCTGTGTTTATGAGCCAGTATTTACTGTTCTACGTTCCGGTTTCCAATTAGTCAGTGCTTTCCAAATGATAGGTCTGTCAGACTTTTCCACGGTACTTTGCGAACTTTGACCGTGTAGGTAAAGTTGAAGCATAGGCAGAAGCGCTGATAGGAAGGCTCGGAGTGAGAGAGCTGGCTATCTCCCACCTTATACGATCCGCTGGCCATCTTGCTATAAGTGGCAGCAAGTTTTGTGGATCTTCTTCGTACCTCTTCCCACCTACACCTCGCCTTCCGCTGTTCATCCATCTTAATCCTTGCTGATCAAGAGCGACATCTGCATCCAGCTATACCAACAATAAACAAAGACACACCACTTCCAGAGCGATACTATGAAGAAGACCAAAGCACCTCGCGCAAGGTATATGACTGATCACATATATATGAAACATTCGAGACGACGCTCATGCCGTACAGTGCCATTGCCGCCTCAGAGACCGTCGTCATCGTCTTCGAAGGAAAGAAGCAGAAACGTTATACCCTCCACAAGCGGCTGTTGACATACCACTCTGGATACTTTCGACAAGTCCTTGACGACGGATCGAAGATCCACCATGTTCCCGCAGTCGCTGAATTCTATCCCATGCATTTCGACATTATCATTGACTGGATGTATGAAAGGAGCCTTCCTGCTCTGATCGACATGGGCAGTGATGATGACGTGCTGAACGCTTACATACTAGCGGAGAATCTATCGATCGGAACCTTCCAGAACGCATTGATGGATATCCTGTTCGATTGGCTGCCACCTTGCTTTCTCAGTGCCGAGGACATCGGAACGATCTCCGGGAGGTTGCCAGAGAATGATCCTCTACTTCGGCTTGCTACAGATATATTCTGTTCCAATGGATGGGTTGAAAAGATGAGCAATGGGCGCCCCGAGTGGGTTGATCACTTGCCACAGGCATTTCTGCTTTGTGTGATCCGAAGGATGTACCAACTCGGTCAGCTGCCGGAGGCCGATCGTAAGCTCAAACGTGAGGATTACGACATCGTTGAGTGTGTAACATCTGAGGACAAAGACGGAGAGTGAAAGGTCTCACGTTGGGAGAATGGAAAGGAAGTGGAATAATGTTTGGAGCAGGCAGTGCAAGAGCCGGATGGCCACTTCGACAGAACAAGGAAAAGCACGGTCAAGAAAAGCATGAATGTTTTGAGAAGAATGAAATCAGTTTTGAGATGCATAGCGAAAGGCATTGACAATGAAATGACTGAGTGGAACAAAGGTGTCGGTCGTGAGTCTGACGCAGCTTTGCAGCTGGCCCGTGCTTACATAAGTGAGGCTCCGCTGCCTTGTTAGCGTCGCGCTACGAGCTTCCCCAGCGCCATCCGTCATTTCGTATGAGCAACATTACCTTCACCTCCGTCCGCTGCCTTTCAGCCTACACACCCTCCACCAGTCATTTACACGTCGTCGCAATCTGTGATTGATCTTATCACCGCAAAAAGGAAATTCAACCGCCCAACGGTCGCAATCTAATTACCATTCACGCCCCCGGAACATTCACGTTAGCCCGGTAAGTCATGGACGGCCCGTTAAATGCTCTCATTTACTGACGTGGCTCCTAGACTTTCAACTACACCCAAATCATCATGTCCGACGCCGAGGTTATCGAACAGAAGCGCGAGGAGGATGAGCGCCTCGATACCGCCGAAGACCCCAACGAAGAGGTACGATACCATCTACCACAACGCGCGCGTTAGACTTGTCGAGTATAGCGGCCGGCTGTTGCGCATACAAGTTCGAAATAGAAGAGCATGCTGACAGTGCAATGCAGGAAGAGATCTCAGCAATGAGGCGACGCGTACAAGAGATGGAGGAAGAAGCCCAGAAGCTGCGCCAGATGCAGAGCGAGACGGACCTAGAACGCCACGAGATGCGCGAGAGCAAAGAAGACGTCGACGCGCGCAGTGTCTTTGTCGGTAACGTCGACTACGGCGCTTCCCCCGAAGAGATCCAGGCACACTTCCAGAGCATCGGAAGCATTAACCGTGTGACCATATTGCTCGACAAGTTCACAGGTCATCCCAAAGGGTCAGTACTAAGAGGAGGTTTTCCTTGAACGATTTGCGCATTTCCAAGTTTTTATTATTTGCTTTCATACATCAACCCGTATGCGCGCGCACAGTCGCGGGAATGTTGTTGGAGTTACAGTTGGGCGAAAGTATCTTTCGCTACCTGGCAAGAGTTTGGCAGAAAGATCGGAACGCTAATGAGCGTATGCAGGTATGCGTATGTGGAGTTCACAGAACCGCATCTGGTCAATGAGGCCTTGGTCCTTGACAACAGCCAGTTCCGCAGCCGGAATCTAAAGGTACGAGATACTACACATTCTCTATTGAATGCGCGAGCGCAAACTGACACACACCCAGGTCGTCCCCAAGCGAACGAACCTCCCCGGTATGACACGAGGCGGACGCGGCGGCCGAGGCGGTCCTCGAGGCGGATACGGCGGACGCGGCTCACCATACGGCGGCCGTGGTGGCTACGGTGGCGGCTACGGCGGCGGCGGCGCTCCACGAGGAGGCGGTTACCGTGGTGGATACCGTGGCGGAAGAGGCGGATCGGCATACCGCCCATACTAAGGGTGTGACACGACACCGACACCGGCACGCGCTATACCACCAGACCTAGGTCGCCGTTTCTGTATTGCTATATTGGGGTTCTCGAGGCAAAGGGTGAACAAAGGAAACAAAGGACACAAAATTGGATTGGGGAGTCGCGGTGACTATCTGTAAGATCCGAGGCTTGTACTATTAGGGATGATTGTTGGACACATGTCGTGAGGATGCGGCGAAAGGGCTGCTGGACTTCTTATCAACCGGGTTTTCTGAGGGACCGGGATGGGTTTAATATATGTTTCTTTGCTTCGTTGCGTGCGATCCTTTATCTCATGTGTTTGTGGCTTTACTGGGATCAACATATCATTCTGAGTATATTCACAACTACTATTATGGCTTCGTGTAGCCGATCACATGAATATCAAATATGGAATACGACAATGATGAATTAATCGTGTATATTACTCCATGAGCAATATGCCAGGAGACTGAGAAGAAAGTCAGGTATCATAGCCACATGCGGCTTTTCTCCCACCATATAAGGACCCATACAATGCTTGGGAACCTCATCCAAACGCCAGGATCCGTGTTTCATCAAAAGGACGTTTCCATACTAAGCGCGCCTCAACCAAGTAGTCAAAGGCAAAGAAAGAAAGAAAATGCAAGAGCACATCCACCTCGTCTGAGCAGTATCCGCCGCAGCCGAGTGGAAGACAGCTTGACCACTGCATAACAGCTCATCAAGGCCTGACCACACCATCCCGTACCCAACCTCCATAACGGCCCTCACGAGCCCTCGGTCACATATAACCAAAAGGTATCTTCACCCCACGGTACACCACCTCTCCCCCCATCTCATCCCCGACAATATGTAGCTCTTCCCCTGGCGCTCTGACAACGTACTACGGCGCCGGGTTCTCCTTGACGATCTGCTTGACCTTGCGCTCATACGCCGCCTTGTCCTTTTTGAACAGGTTGAACGCGTCGGCTTGTGCTGGGCTCTCTGGGTTCGGCTCGTCGAGAAGCGATTGGATGCCCAGCAGGATCTCTTTGATGTTGATGGCGGGCTTCCAGCCTTCTTCTTCGTTGAGGATGGAGAGGCAGACGGTGCCTGAGGGGTAGACGTTGGGGTGGAAGAGGGGTGGGACGAATTTGCCTGTGAGTGGGTTAGCTGTTGTTAGGCAGATAGGTTTGGGAGTTTGGCGGTGGAGGAATGGGCGTGGGCTGAGAGATGTGTGGGCACGTACACTTTGGTGGCTTTGTTGGGTATTCATCTGGGAACGCGACTTCGAGCTTGAATAGACCGCCTTCCCATATCGTCTTTTCTTTTCCTGGTATGCCGCATTCCCATCGCTTTAGGTCCATCATGCCGTTGGAGCCGCGCATAGGCTTTGCGAAGAAGCCGAAGGGGTGGTCTCGTCGCCATGACTTTCTGGCTGCTGCGTTAGCGAAGTTCATGTGCGTGGAAGCTGAAAGCGCGTACCTCTCTTCCGAGAGCCTGTTGACGCAAAGAGACATAGTGTCGGTGTAGATACAAGGCTGGCCGTTGCGCCTCTAGCTTGTCTCGTGGATTTCCGTACTGAAATACCGACAAAGCGTGCGGTAAAGATAGCGAGAAAACTGCAAAGACGGCGTCTTATATATCGCGAGCTTGAGCGTGTGGCGTCGCGCTTGTCAAGGTGCTACGATTGCGGTAAAGGTGAGGATTGCAGACGGTAAGAGGATCAGGTGAAGTCGAGTTACGGTTGCACGTGACCTGACAACAATTATCGGGCGCCGCAGCGTTGGGATTCGGGGCTAGATCCCGTCGCGCGAAGGTGGAAGGTGCGATGCGCGATCTGCCCCGCGCTAGACCTTGGCGCTTGTGCCTGCCCCGCTTATGTGATCCAATGCCTACATATGCGCGGGCCGAGGCTGACATGGCATGTGTCTGGTCTAGGTAGCTGCGATCTTCTTTACATGTTCCTATCTCTGTTTCTTGGACCCTATAGAAGCTTTGCCTGTATCTCGCAGTGAGACCACACTAAGATGGCGGACACAGCCGTAAAGAAAGAAGAGCAACAAGCCGCCAAACCCACAACCACAACCACTGCCCCTCCCCCCGCCGAAGTAGCCTCCGACCCCGAAGAAGACGACCTCTCCGACCTCGACGATGTCCTCGACGATGTCCTCGACGAATTCGCAAACACAAAGCTCGACGCCAAGGCCCCCACCGCCTCGTCAATAGAAGCAGCCTACCCCAAGTCCAGCGATGCGCCGTCGTCTTCCGGGCCCGGCAGGCCAGCGTCTGACATCTCCCCCGCGGAACTCATGATGGAAGACAAGGATGCGTTCCAGGCACAGCTTCAGAAAGAGATGGAACAGCTTCTTGGACAGGGCGACTTCCAGAAACAGTTCGACGAGATTATGAAGGAGATGAGTGCGGAGATGGGGGGCGCGAATCCGTTGGAGGATCCTGCGCTTGGGCATGAACATGGGCATGCGAGTGAGGGTACGGGTGCGGGCGAGGCGAAGGAGAAAGCAGCGCCTGGTCCGTCTGAGAAGGCGACTGCTGCAAAGGCAGAGAAGACGTTCCAGGAAACTATCAAGAAGACTATGGAGCGCATGCAATCCTCCTCCGATACCGCAACCTCCGCCGCCGCATCTTCCTCCCAAGACGACATCCTCGCGCAGATGCTCGCGTCCATGGAATCTGGTGGTTTCGGTGGCGCGGGTGAGGGTGGCGACGAGGACTTTAGCAAAGTGCTCATGGGCATGATGGAGCAGCTTACCAACAAGGATATCCTGTACGAGCCGATGAAGGAACTAGACGACAAGTTCCCAGCGTGGATGGACAAGAACAAGGAGAAGTGTGAAAAGGATGATCTGAAGAGGTATGAGGAGCAGCAGACGCTGGTCAGGGAGATTGTGGGTAGGTTCGAGAGGAAAGGATACAGTGACGACAACGCCCAGGATAGGGAGTATATTGTTGAGAGGATGCAGAAGGTATGTGATTGTTTCTTGACGCGCGATGCGACAGGTGCTAATATTAATGTAGATGCAAGCCGCTGGCTCTCCGCCGCCCGATCTGGTCGGCGATATGAACGCCGCGCAGGAGGCGCTTCAGGATATGGATCAGGGCTGCCCGACTCAGTGATCTCCTTGCGCGATAACTCGTCTGCTTCATTCTTCCCAGATACCCAATGTACATATGATGCCTTCCCCCAAGCAATCTGTTATACTGAGATGACAATTTCCCGTCTTACAACATGTGCAGAGCTGCTATGATGTCACCACCAAGTCGCCTTCTTTTGGGCGATCTCTTGCTAATCTCGGGAGTCTCCGATTTCACATCGTTCTTTAGCAATCCATCATATCCATATCCATCGCGTCCCCTTCGAACGCGTCTTGCGCGCGTTGCTGCTGCTGCTGAAACTGATCGTGCCCCGCCGTCGCGCACTCCAAGAATATCGAATCATAGTCGTCGTCGTC